CGGGAGCCCCGGGGCACACCCTCCGTGACGTGGCGGCCCCCCGGGAGCCCACGGGGGTTGGCTCCCGGCTCCCGGGACCCCCACGGGTGCGCGCCGGGGAGGCTGGGTGCCCCCGCCCACCACCCGGGCCCCGGCGGGGGCTACTCTGGCCCCGGCTGAGTCTGCACACCCGCCTCGCCTAAGTCGGTGCGCTTCTGAGAGAACTCTGGAGCCTTTCTCTTCCCACCGCGTCCCCTTCCCCAGCCCCTAGGCTGTGTCCTCACGGCCCGTCCGGCCCGACCGAGGGACTCACTTCCCAGCCGTCTCCCCGGTGTCTGCCCCCGGCCAGTAGCCCGTGCCCGTTCCCAAAAGCGTCCGGGGAAGGCCCTCCAGGAAAAGCGGCCGCTGGGCTTTCACTTCCTAGCGCGGCTGCATTCAGGCCTCAACGGTTTCCTCCTCGGCTCCCTTTGATGAAATGCAGAGCAGCGGCCGTGGGGGCTTTGAGCCAGACGGGCTCTTTAGAGCCGCATTGTGCCTCCTCGTGGCCCAGCGCCTCCTCGGCCCTGCGGAGGGGAGGGCGCTGCGAGGTGCTCTCTGGCCGGCTCCTTTCATCGTGGGGCGCGGTGAGCTTCGTAAATCGCTTTTTGGAGGAAGGTGTTGAACCCTAATTTGTTCCGAGCGCCTCTACGGGCCCGTCGTACTTTCACAAACCTCACCTCTGTGGTTCTTCCACTTCCGGGGGTTATAGAGCCCTTTGAGAGTTTCACGAAAATCATGACTTCCTTTCCTCCCAAAATGTACATTGCTGAATGTGCACATTTTGTATCCATTTTCAGGGAGTTCAGAGTCCCTCTCCAGCCCATCCATGGACTCATTTTAATTTTCCCAACTATCCCGTGAGGTAGGTATTATTTTCCTTGTTTGAGAAATAGGACAACTGAGACTCAGGGGAGTTAAGAGAATTCTTAAAGATTACATAGTCCCTGAACTGTGCGGTCAACTTGTGTTCCTATATCTGATTCCCAGTTACCTGCTGTCGTCTGCATCCTGTTGCACTCCAGTGAGTAAAGCCTGCTTTTCATTATTCCAATAGTAATTTAACTACAAAGCTGTGTGCAGGCTGAAAATAACTTACGGTATGTTTAAGGTTAAAACTATGAAGATACTTTAGAAAATATGAATACGGAAAGGTGCGGGGATACCATATGGATATAATCCATTTCCATTTTGATCAGTTCCTTTGATTCTTGCTATCCAGTTATTTCAGCATTCCCTGATTCAAGTTACTGAATTGTAGTCATGCTAATTGCACATAGGGAGCTTCTGCTTGAAGGATAACTGCTTCATTGACTATAAGAGCTTTATTCTTAGAATGACAACCCTTTGAATTAGGGACTATTATTATCCACATTTTGCAGTTGAGGAAATTGAAGAACTGAGACGTTAAGTAATGCACCGAGGTCACAAAGGCGATCGGATTTTAGGCTCTGTTTAATTGCCTTTCAAAATAGGGCTTATAACTAAATATCAAATCTATATAGTGACTTAATTATTTTCTGAGGATGGCATGTATTTTATACTTCACATTAAAAATTTCATGAACATAATGTAATTTTTGTTGATTAAAAAGAAACTTAAGATATTTAAGGGTCATCATCCATTTTAAGACTTAGGTGTTGCTGATGGCCTCAGAAAAGACTTTATGTTATTTGGATTCTCTTTACTAGATACACATGTGTACATTGATAACTGAACATCCTTTTGCAAACTGCATTATCCTGTATTGGAACTCTTCATCCTGTAGGCAATGAATCTTCCATACTTTGGGGCGTATTTGGTCAGCATAGACTGTGTTAGGACGTCAGCCTTTGAGGAAACTAAAAGCCTAGCTCCGCCTTTGTAACTGACTTTTTCTGCCTCTCACCCTTTCATGCAGCTGTATGATTTTGGCTTTTAAGATCCTCTTCCCACCAGCTCTCCGTGCACTCAGCCGAAAAGAATTGTGCCTATTCCGAGAACATCACCGGCCTGACATAAGACAGTTCAGCCAGTGGTCAGAAACAGATCTTCGTGGACACCGCCTCCTCCAGAGAAAAAAGCCTGTTCTGTCATTCCAGGAAGGCAGTCTAAGACCACGTGCCACTTGCCTTGTTTTCTTGCCAGGGTCGCATGTGGGACTCTGCAGTGGCCCCTGTGAGATGGCAGAGCAACGGTTCTGTGTGGACTATGCCAAACGTGGCACAGCTGGCTGCAAAAAATGCAAGGAGAAGATTGTCAAGGGCGTATGCCGAATCGGCAAAGTGGTGCCCAATCCCTTCTCAGAGTCGGGGGGCGATATGAAAGAGTGGTACCACATTAAATGCATGTTTGAGAAACTGGAACGGGCCCGGGCCTCCACAAAAAAAATTGAGGACCTCACAGAGCTAGAAGGCTGGGAAGAGCTGGAAGATAATGAGAAAGAACAGATAAGCCAGCACATTGCAGGTGGGGTGGAGAATACTGGTTTCTCATCTTACTGCTGCTGAGAGTAGAGCCCAATTTCTTTCATCTGGCTTGTTTTAACTTTTTACTAGGAAATAATTTCAAACACAGAAGAGTTGCAAGAATAAAAATAGTGCAGAGAATGCTCATATTCCCTTTACTCAGATTTACCGATTGTTAACATTTTGCTCTCTTTGCTGTATCAGTTATGTTCACATGTGCTCGCTCGCTCTATTGCTCTATCCTTCCACGCAGTTTTTTTCCCCCCTGAACCATTTAAGCATAAGTTGCATACATCATGGCCCTTTGCCTTAAATACTTCAATGTGTATATTTTAAAATTAGGAATGTTCTCTTACAAGACCCTAATAATACAGCTATCAACCAGTAAATTTATATTGATACAATATTTTAATCTACCATCTGTATTTCAGTTTTGTCAGTTGATCAACTAATATCTTTCACAGCTTTTTTCTCCCTCTTGTATAGAATCCTAGTGTAGGATCAGGTATTGCACTGGTTATCATGTCTGGCTTCCTTTAATCTGGAACATTTTCGTGGTCTTTTTTTTTTTTTTTCTTTTATGACATTGACATTTTTGAAGAATAGAGTATCTACCACAACCCCCTTTTATCTATCAGTTTATTAACTGTATGGACTCATAGATTACTCCTTTTCCTGGTGGCTTATAATTGTACTGTACTTTATTGATTTGGTACTTAATTGTCCTGTGTTTGGCCAGTTGGGAGCCCCTTTGAGCTAGTTTCTGTCCTGGATGCCTGCATCACTGTTTAAAAAGTGTTTTTAAATACTTCCCTTACTCTCTGGCATAACAGTATGCTTGTTCTTAGGCTTACCTTGTATGTCTCCTATCAGCCCTGGAGTCAGTCATTTCTCTGAAAAGCCCTATTAGTGGGAAAATGGCCTTAGAGACCAAAATCTGGGTGCTGCGTGTCCTGGGTGCCATGAGATGTCCTTGCTTTTAAGCCCTTTCAGCAGACAGAACTAGAAACTACATGTTTGTATGGATATACAAAGCACACGTATTGCATAGACACATACGTATGCCCACTTACATGCATAGTCACTTATGTGCACATTTTAGAAATCTTACACTGATACTCAGAAATCCAATTAGTCCTTTCTGACCTTCAGTGTCTTCATCTTTAAAGTAATATTCATATCTTCAAATGAGTTTAGTTCTAGTCACTATGGGAGGACTCTAAAATGGGCATCTATCCTTGTTCTTTGAGGGGAAAAAAAGACTTCCAGGAGAGGAAAACGACTCCTGTATTTTCTTCTCAAGGTCCCCTGCTGCCCTGCTGGGCCTTGGCCATTGGCCTCAGCCTTTGTTACTTCTTGGCCTATCTCATTCAGAGGAAGAGAAATACAAGGTAGAGTTAAACTGTCACATAGCTCAAATAACTCAGCAGCTGGAATTCTTCCTTCCTATACCAAATCAACATGCCCTGTTTATCCATCTTTATTTTACTTTCTTGTTTATGTGTAAATTGGGGCTAATTCCATAAGCTGAGACCCTCAAGTTTTATCTGTTGACGTATGATTTCTGATTGCCTCCAAATCTGGAGAATAATATATGTAGAATAAGGGGTAGAGTGTTGATGAAAATTTAAGTTACTAATGGAAGTAAAGAGTTATTGAGTCTTTTGTCCACAGAATACCCTCTCCCTAGTGCCCTGTTACTCACTACCTCCGCTCACAAAGACTGCCAGCCAGCAGCCAGCACTGGGTTAATACCATGGTAGTAACTTACTAGCCAGGCTGTAAGAACAGCTGATAGATTCTTTGCGAGCATTTTCAAGGATCTTTCACTGAAGGATATTTTCCTTTTGGGATTCTACAGATCTGTCTTCCAAGGCAGCAGGCACACCAAAGAAGAAAGCCATTGTCCAGGCTAAGTTGACAGCCACTGGCCAGGTGACATCTCCAGTGAAGAATGCCTCATTTGTCACCAATACCAATCCCCGGAAGTTTTCTGGCTTTTCAGGTAAGATAGGTTAGATACTTTGGCTGTTACAGTCCTCCTTTTAATTTGGTATCCTGTTTGGAACTCCAGTTCAGAGTAAAGGGAAAATTTTGTGCTTTCTAGCTTCCTTAAATTGACCACTGAACAACATGAGTGTTAGGGGCTCCAAACCCTCTGCACAGTTGAAAATCCAAATATGGTTTATCTGCTTTCCTTATCCGACATTCCCATATCTGCAGTTCCACCATGCCCTCAGTTTCGCATCCATGGATTCAGTCAACCTCAGTTTGCGTAGTGCTCATTTGCTATTGAAAAAAATCCTCGTGTAGGTAGACCCATGCAGTTCAAACCCACGTTGTTCAGGGTCAGCTCTAATTTGCTTCAAGCTGAGCAGAGCACTAACAACTAATTCTCAGTGCTCTGCTTATGTATCATGTCTTTGTATACTTTAATCTCTTGCAGCAAAAAGATGTTTGTTTTGTCAAGACTTTTGCTCCTTGAAGCAGTTTACCTGGGTCAGACAGATTATTATAACTTGCCATTCACTTCCTTGTGTTTTGATAATGAAAAAATCCTGAGAAATTACATCCTTAAATTTGCCCAAACTAGAGATGAAAGTGGAGACGGGAGTTGTCTTGTGTGGCCTTATGGAACAGAGAGCTTTGGGCTGGGGGCTTCTACACACATGGTTTCACTTGTTCATCAGTTAATTTTGGGAAGTACTTTTATTAGGCCTACTTTATGAATGAGAAAGCTGATGTTCAGCATCGTTATGAAGTTAGTATTTATACTGAAGTCTGTTTAACTCAAACACCTGTGCTCTTTTATTTGGAGACATTCTTGTGACTGACTCAGGTAAAGAAAATAAAGTCAAAACATGTTGACCCAGAAGCTGTTTGGGGAGGTTGCTTTATGTGAGTGAAAGAAGCCTGGACTGGGGGTGGGGTGTATAGCTCACTGGTAGAGTGCATGCCTTGCGTGCACAAGGTCCTAGGCTCAAGCGCCAGCACCTCCATCAAATAACTAGACTAATAAACCTAATTATGTCCCCCCCAAAAACAAACAAACAAAAAGATATCTATATAAATATTAAAAAATTTTTTTTAAATCTGAAGAAAAAAAGAAGCCTAGGCTTGAGGTCGGAAGTCCTGAGTCCTGGTCTGAACCTCTGTGGCCTTACCTGGCAGTGGGATGAGGACACTGGGAATGGCAACACCCACCGCGGTGTCCCCACATGCTCACAAGGAATGAGGGAGACAGAGAGTGCCAGACTCTGGGCTTTTTAGTATTTTAAAACTGAGGTGTGCTTGTGTCCTGTTTAATGATAGGCCAAAGATGGAAATAAGGAAGAGTCCAGGTGACAGGAGGGCAGCATGTTTCTGGAAGGGTCCTGGTCCTAGGGAGGGAATTTGGGAGAAACCAGGTGTTCTAGTTCTTACAACCTGCTGAACAAAGATGCTTTGGAGATTTTGTCCCCTAAAATCCTCTTTAGACTCCAGTCGGAGATGAGGATAGATTTATAATATACAAAGCCCAGACAAGAAGACACTTAGATTAGCAGCCAGCTTGCTAATGGCTTTGCTGCAAGCTTGCGGAGTGAAATTTACTTTGTAAATGGTCACAAGGAGGTAAGAGAGGATCACTCGAGAGCTGTGCAGTTATTTTGGGGTGTCTGGAGGAAAGCTCGTCGACTACCTTTCTTTTTACAATAAGAAAGTGGTGGTGGGGGTGGGTGGCGGTGCTCCGGGGCTGGGAATGTCTTGTCTCCTCATCGAGAGATTGAACTAGATCATCTTTAAGTCTTACAGCTACGACAATCTGCGATAGCAGTAGATGCACACTGACTAACATGTCCTTTGATTTCTGCCCCCTTCCTTATCCCGTCTTTTCTGGGTTCAGCTTGACAGTTGCTCTGAGATCATCCTGACCGCTCTTGGCATGAAAGCGGCCCTTATTCTTCTGTGAAGCGCTCGTATAAAGATACACATCAGCTGGCCCTCTGTTTGGTGTGGGGCCGCTCTCTCTTTACTATTAATACCTTTGAAATTGGGGAAATTACTGACCTCCATTTCTTTACCCCTGAAGGGAGTATAATGATATCTACCCCTGAGGGGCTATCTTGGGGGATTAAGTGAAGCTACATACAGAGCACCAGCAGCATGTCTGTCAGTTTCCCTTTCTTCCTTCTCAGCAAGGCAAAATGAATCATCTCTGCTGTTTCTTTCTCTGACAGCCAAGCCCAACAACTCTGGGGAAGCCCGCTCAAGCCCTGCCCCTAAGACAAGTCTGTCCTCCAGCAAATGTGACCCCAAGCACAAGGACTGTCTGCTACGCGAGTTTCGGAAGTTGTGCGCCACGGTGGCTGAAAATCCTAGCTACAACGCGAAGACCCAGATCATTCAGGACTTCCTTCAGAAAGGCTCAGCAGGAGGTGGGGCCTCAAACATCCTCGGTGGGCTTTTCCTCTAAAGAGCTCAAAGTCATGGCTGGCTTCATGAGCATGTGAACTCTATAGTTGCGTGGGGCCCCACGCTTGGTTTAATGCTCTTGTTGTTGCTGTCTTTAAATTCTTAATACTTTTGAGCAAAGAGCCCATGTTTTCATTTTGTATTGGGACCTGCAGAACATGTAGCCAGTTCTGCTCAAAGCACATTGGCATCTTTCTTATTCTGCCCCCCAGGAGACCAGAAGAACCTACCCTGTTTGGCCAGGAGGAAAATTTCACTATCCTGCATGTTTGATTAGGTTTTTGTGAACCACTTGCACAGCCTGGAATGGAATTTTCTAATTCTGTTTCTTTCATCCACTAACAAATGATCATTGAGCATCTGTAATGTGCTCATCACTCGGAACACTGAAGTAAAAGTCATGACTGTGCCCTGCAGGAGTTTATCCAGGAGCAAAAAGGGAGGCAGATACATGAACAGCCAGCTAATGCTGTGCCCCTGCTGCCGTACAGAAATGCACGCAGCGCCCTGTGGTTCCGTGGCAGCAAGGGCAGCAATGCAGACGTCTCTTTTGGTTCCTTGAGTTTATGTATTTGTTTAAGGTCCATTTCTCAAGAAGCGTTTTTTCTTCTGTCTCCTCCAGATGGTTTCCACGGTGACGTGTACCTAACAGTGAAGCTGCTGCTGCCGGGTGTTATTAAGAGTGTTTACAACTTGAATGACAAGCAGATTGTGAAGCTTTTCAGCCGCATTTTTAATTGCAACTCAGATGATATGGCACGAGACCTAGAGCAGGTCAGAGGAAGGGGAGGGTAGGTGGATTTCAGGTGGGTTCTGCTGAGCCAGGCACCTGTACCCTCTCTTTTCTGGTTGGGGTACTTACTGTTTTAGGAAACCGAAACCCACTTGAGCAGGCTTTTATTATGAGAGGAGCTGAAGGAGAGGCTAGAGTTGTTAGTTCCACAAGGTTCTGAGGATTGAGCTCATGCCACTGTTGAGCCTGAGAGGCCCAGACCTCAAGGGGCTGGATCTGAGGCTTCCCACTGTCTCTCCTGGGCTCTTGTCCTACACCCTATTTTTTTCTGGCTTTTTCCCCCCCATCACTGGGGCTTACCATTCCGTTTGGTTTGTTCATGATTCCAGCCTTGGCACTATGGAAAGTTTCTATCCAAGCACCCCCGTTATCTGATGACCACATCTGTCTCTTAGTTCAGATTCTAACAGGACTCAAATTGGTTCAGCCCTGGATTTGTTCTTGTGTCACTTCTCAGCTAAGGCAGGTGGCCAGATCCTATGGTGGATGGAGGTGCCCTTTCCAGGAACTGTGGGTGGGATAGATTCTGTAAGAAGTGAGGTCAATATGTGTGAGTTGGGGGCAAGAGTGATGATTGAAATCTCTGATTCACCTTTAGTCCTGGGGGCTGGGAGGATACGCTTGGCCACTCTGGGGTTGCTGCAGTGGCATTTTGGTTTTTGGAGACAGGGTGATGTGTCAGAGACAATCAGAGTCTTCTTTGAGCAGAGCAAGTCTTTCCCCCCAGCTGCCAAGAGCCTCCTTACCATCCAGGAGGTGGACGAATTCCTCCTGCGACTCTCCAAGCTCACCAAGGAGGATGAGCAACAACAGGCCCTTCAGGACATCGCCTCCAGGTGGGGGCACTGCCCAGTGGGGATGGGCTGGGGGAGGTGGAATCACTAGGGAAGGAAGGTTTGGAAGTCCAGAGCTCTTCAGAGACCAAACTAAATCATCCCTCTAGGTGTACAGCCAATGACCTTAAGTGCATCATCAGGTTGATCAAGCATGATCTGAAGATGAACTCAGGTGCAAAACATGTGTAAGTACTGGCTCCTCTTGACGGCTGAAGCTGCCCACTTTGTTGCCAGCTGGTGTCAGGACTTTGGAGTCCTGATTGGGATTTGAATCCTGATTCTACCTTCTTCCTTCCTTTGGGACCCGTCACTTGAGCTCGCTCAGCCTCAATTTTCTCATATGTAAAGTGGAGATAACAGTACTGTTCTCACAAAGTATGGAAGATATTCAGTATGTATGGTATGAGTCACTTGCCCACTCCAGCCCCTCTTTGCCAGGGTAGCATCCATGTAGCACAGTGTCTCAAAAGAGCTGAGATCTCCAAGAGCTTTTTCTCCTGTACAGGGCTTGAGACGATAGAACATAACCCCTTCCCCATATATTAGGATCCCTCCTCTCCGAGGACAGACAGCGGTCTAAAGCAATAAGGTCAAAGGCAATGGTTTTTATTTCCTTGCTCTTGTCCACCTTGGCAGGTTAGATGCCCTCGACCCTAATGCCTATGAAGCCTTCAAAGCCTCGCGCAACCTGCAGGATGTGGTGGAGCGGGTGCTCCGCAACGAGCAGGAGGTGGAGAAGGAGCCAGGCCAGAGACGAGCTCTGAGTGTCCAGGCCTCACTGATGACCCCGGTGCAGCCCATGCTGGTAAGGGCGCTGCTCTGGCCCTGCTTTCTACTCCTCTCCCAGGTTACTGTCCTTCCCTGTGAGATCTGATAGGGTAGATGTTGATGGCCCATGCACGGTGGCCACAGGAGTTTGGGGAAGGAAGAGCAGTGATTTGGAGTGTGTCTCTCAATGGGGGAGTAAAGGCAAAGGAGGAGACAGCATGACCTGGTGGAAAGGCCTGAGACCCAGACCCGGCTCTGCCACCATGAGCTATAGAACCTTACGTGGTTTACTTCAGTCTCTCTTGGTCTTTAGTTTTCTTGTGTGAATGATGTCTGAAGTATCTTCCCAGCATGGTTCATCTGTCATCTTTCCTGAAGTCAGGTGGATGTATTAAGTAACTTCTGAGGTTCAGTGACTTGCCCTGAAGTAGCTCTGAAAGTTGGTGGCAGAGCCAGGCTTCCTATGACAGGGTGACTTGGGCCTCCTTTTTTTCCGGAAAGGAATGATGCCCAGCTCTTCTTGGGCCTCTGCTCATTTCATGAGAAATGGAATTTCCTTTCTGATACGGGTTTTCCTGTGCAGCAGGGCCCTCCGAGTCTGCTGCCATGCCTGCATGAGGCCCTCTGCATTGTCTCAGTGGAGTGTGGTGCTTTTTATGGAACTGTCTTGTGTGTTTTCCTGAAGCCTCGGTCTAGAGTTCTGTGTTTGGGACAGCGAAGTATTCTTAGGAATGTGAGACAGCCAGCACCAAAATAATGAGCTCTCCACCCACGGGACAGGAGTGGTCACCTCCATTCGTGGCCTTTCTTGGCTTTCATAAGAATTTTTTTCTGGAATCTGCTCCACAGCCCATCGTCTGAAGAGTGGCCTGGATCATACAGCTTACTGGTCAACCGCACAGGCTTTGGAGTTGGGCCTAGATTCACATCTCATTCCTGCCCTTTACTGGCTGTATAATCTTAAGTGAGCACTTAACCCCTGTGAGCTTCAGTTTTCTCATCCATAAAGTGAAAACAGCCATATTTATCACATATGACGTCATCAGTGAAATGAAATTATGTGTATGATCTGACATGTAGAAGTACCCCCAAAATGCTAGTCATTGTTTGAATCGGTGGCACAGGTAAGTGAATAATCGCTCCTGTGTCATGTCCTGTCCCAGGGGTCCCTAATCACTGCCACCCTGCCAGCCTCACTGCCACCTGCACTCTTTAACCTTAGCCTCTACGTACCTCCTGTGCTGAGATAACCGATGTGTTTAGTGATAAGCCAGAGGCCCTGCGAGACCTTCAATTGCTGAGAAGAAAATAAAGTGTTTCAGTGGAATTGTATTAGCTCTACAGTGAACTGCATTCGTATATTCCTCAGAATGCAAGCTCCTACGTCAACTGCAGTGATGCTTTTATAGTCAGAATGTGGCACTGTCCAGCCTTTCTGTTCCCACCCCCTGTTCAGCGGCCTGCCCTGTGGGGGTGCTCTGGCCTTCAGTCCCTGGGACCCAGGCTCTCGGCTCTCCTTGCTGAGCATCGCCTCGTGGGAAGAGCACCTGTAAGTCACCAGGCTTTTCATCCCCTATCCCAAGGCCGAGGCCTGCAAGTCCATCGAGTATGCGATGAAGAAGTGTCCGAATGGCATGTTCTCTGAGATCAAGTATGACGGGGAACGAGTCCAGGTGCACAAGAACGGGGACCACTTCAGCTACTTCAGTCGCAGCCTCAAGCCCGTCCTGCCGCACAAGGTATAGGTCCCTTCCGTCCCCTGGGACTCTTACCCATCTTGCGTTTAAGAATCTCAAAGCCAGTGTTCCATAGCCATTCCAGCCCTGGTGCAGAATAGGGGTCTGTTTACTGTTTGTTGAATGAATTCATGTATTCATTTTTGAAGCCTTCCAGTAATGCAGGGCTGCTAAGTAGGGACAGCCGAAGAGCACAGACAGTCAGTCAGCACAGAGCCGCGGGGGCAGTGATGCCCGGACAGCGAGCTCAGCTGGTCAGTGATGCGCAGGGCTTGTCTTCTGTGTTTCCATGTCCTACGTGTTCCTTCCGAGCTAAGTCAGAGCTCAGGTACAAAGGACTGTTGAGCTCTCGTTTGTTAATTTATTCAACAAGTAGTTATCAGCGGCTTCGTCTGTGCTGGGCACTGTTCTAGCTAGTGGACGTACAGTAGTAAAAAGAAACAGACAGGAGTTCTGCCCTTCCAGAAGCTTACATTCAGATGTAAACACAATCCCATGGGGACTTCTGGGAGCCCAGACTCCTGCTCTTAATCAAGGGACATTGAGAACCTCACCCCTCAGCCCCTTTCAGCTCCCAGGGTGTCTGGGAGCCTTTGGGGGTGTGTCCAGAGAAAAGTAGCAGGAACATCTGGCTGCAGCAGGTTGGGAGTAGATGACCCTCCTGTCCTTGCTCCCCCTTCTTTCCTAGCTCAGACTCTGATTCTCAGAGCCCCGGGGGAGGGGACGTGGTGTGGGGCTCACCTCCTTGCCCCAGCCTCACCTGCCCGCTGGAGCACCAGGCAGTCAGAGAGCTGAGCACAACCTCCCCGTGAGCATCAGTGCGGGCTCACGTGCTCCGTGGGGGAGGCTCATGGTCAGACCACTAAGGAAGAGCTCCCGGTGAGCTTGTTCAGGGGGCATCTCCGGCTCCTCAGGAGGGAGTTTGAGCTCACCTTTCCGGCGTATGAGCCCTTTCCCTTCTCTTTAACTTAGTTCTGTTCATTCCCTGTCTCCCTGTGCTTTGGTTCTTGAAGGGCTGGGTTGAGCGTGGAAGCAGAGTGGGACGTGCAGGCCTTCCCTGTCCAAGCGTCAGACGCAGTGAGGGCCTAAGTGCCCTGCCTGGGGGAGGAATGGACCACAGTCATTCTCTCTGGACCTCCTTGGTGGCCTCACTCAGCAGGGGCCACTGTGGGTTACAGTGGAACCTCTTCCTGTCTAGGACTGTCAAACACTAGCACTCCGCCTTTAACAGGAAAAAATCCAATTCCAAACATCTTTTCTTCTCCAGGTTCAGAGCTCCCACTCAGAGAAGCCCCTTCTCACGTTTCATTGCTGCTCCTAAAAGGGGTTCATTTCCTCCTTTCCAGCCGGTCTGCTGTCCCACTCAAATCTCTGCCTCCCACTTTCCCCCCCCCTTTCCGTGTTTGTCTACCCCACTTTCTCTCCCTCATTCTCACTCTCAGTTTCTTTCTTTTTCCTGCAAACTCTGCTGTGCAGCCCATAGAAAGTGACCTCAACATGGGCTGACCTCTTCCTAGTTCTGGGCAGAGGTCCTGAAACATAGCTGATTCCTCCTGTGTAGGTGGCTGCCAAGGCCTAGGTCTGTTTTGCACTTGTTGGTGTTTTTTCTGGGGCCTGGCTTTTGCTTTTTTGTGGCTCAGCTCCCTCGCCTGAGTGACCCTTCTGCCTCCAGGTGGCCCACTTTAAGGACTACATCCCCCAGGCTTTCCCTGGGGGCCACAGCATGATCTTGGACTCTGAGGTGCTTCTGATCGACAACAAGACAGGCAAACCACTGCCCTTTGGGACTCTGGGAGTGCACAAGGTACCGGCTTAGGGCTAGATGTGCAAACGAGTGTGTGCATGTGTGGGTGTGTGCATGCTGGAGGTCTGAATGGAGAGGAATATATCACTTACTTTGGGTCAAGCTTATCTTCTTCCCTGAACTGTTTCTGAATTTAGCCCTGAGTTTAGATGTTTTGTTTTTGTGTTTTGCATAAAAAAGAGCTAGTAGTGGCAACTCACAGTTGAGTCGGTCCCCTTTCAGGACCATGTGCCAGGTGCCCTTACGGCCCAGGGGCTTCACAGCATAAATAGGACTTTTGTATCAGGTGCTTCAGAGGGTCTCCGGAAGTGGACTGGGACACCCCATTTTTCATGCCCTCTTATTTTTGTCCCTCGTGTACCCACTGCTTCATTTTCCCTTACAGAAAGCTGCCTTCCAGGATGCTAATGTCTGCCTGTTTGTTTTTGATTGTATCTTCTTCAATGATGTCAGCTTGATGGATAGGTGAGGGATCTATTTTTGATTCCTGGGTGGGGAGATGGGGGCTTCAGATTGGAAGGGAGGGAGAGGCGGCTGGAGCATGTGCCTCTTTGTGCCAGTGGGGTTTCAGTTGATCTCTCCACCAGTACCTGCGGTCCACAAGGCAGATGGTTTTCAGCTCAGAGGTTCTGTTTTTGGAAGAGGCTGACAACAGGAAGCTTGTGATTGTTGGGGTTCTGTGCTTAGGACCATCTTAGAACTAGCAGTCTTAGCTGCATCCAGTTCTTGGGCCTGAGAAACCAAGGTGTCCCTGCCCCCACCCCTACGCCGGCCCACATCCCTGAGTGTGGGGCAGGGTGGGGAGACAGCAGGGAGAAAGAACTGCGGGTAGGAGCTGGGGTTTGGGCTTCAGGTCTTGAGCCTGTCACCAGCCCGCCTTTGGCCAGGGGTGAGGCACGGCACAGAAAATGAGAATCGGAGTCAGTTTTCAAGTGGGACCAGAATTTATACTGTCCGTTTGGGCTGATAAAGTAGAAACGGGAATTACAATGATGAAGTGGCTCTGTGCTGCGGCCCACAGCTGCCCACCTTTCGTCCCGTGGAGCCCTTGTCACCTGGGACGAGCAGACCTATTACAGGACACAGGGGCTTTAAGCCATGGCCGACCCTGTCGGGAAGCTGCAGTCTGTCGCTGTGCCCCTCCCCTCCTCAGAACTCAAGGGGATGGGAGGGTCCTAGCCTGCCCTCAGCTCTCCTGTCCCCTCAGGCCTCTGTGCGAGCGGCGGAAGTTTCTTCATGATAACATGGTTGAAATTCCCAACCGGATCATGTTCTCAGAAATGAAGCAAGTCACGGTGAGCAAAGACCCCACCCTAGGCAGTGCCCTAGAGCTTTGTATATACATTTAAAAAAAAATTTTTTAATGGAGGTACTGGGGATTGGACCCAGGAGCTCATGCATGCTAAGCATGTGCTCTACCACTGAGCTATGCCCTCCCCATTGAGGGGTTTGAAAGCAGGGCAGAGAACCCCTGGGGTCAGGCGTGACTGGGTGAATGAGTCCTGATTATTTTCTCACGAGGGAGGCTGATTATATAGTCATACCTCGAGATATTGTGGGATAGGTTCCAGACCACCACAATAAAGCAATATCACAATAAAATAAGGCAAGTGAGTTTTTCCCTAGTGCATAGGAAAGTTATGTGGACACTATATTGTAGTCTATTAAGTGTACAATAAGCATTATGTCTTTAGGGGGAAAAATTACATAACCTTAATTAAAAATACTGCTAAAAAATACTAACCATGTGCTGACAACAGAGGGCTGCCACAACCATTGTAAAAAAGAAAACCAGTATCTGCAAAGTGCACGAAAGCAAAACTTACAGTAAGACAAGATCGGCCTGTGCTCGTCCCCACCTAGGAGGGCAGGGCCTGAAACACTCATCTCAGGTGGGCTCCCAGGATCTCAGAGCCACAGCAGCTCTCTGGTTGGTCCCTGCTTGCAAGCCCTTTGTTCCTTATATTCAAGTCAGAGTGTTTGCAGCGGGCACTCTGCTATTGTGTGGAAAGGAACCACCTCTGCCTCATCCTACAGCCTTTCTCTGTTCCCACACCAGCCTCAGAGTCTCTCCTGTTATCCCTCAGAAAGCCTCAGACTTGGCCGACATGATCAATCGGGTGATCCAAGAGGGTCTGGAAGGGCTGGTGCTGAAAGACGTGAGGGTAAGACATCACATCCTTTGCTTTCTCCTGCAGACTCAGCCCTCCCCCGAGCCTTTCCAGCCCTGGCCAGGAGGTGGTGGTGGCGGTCTGAAGTGCTTGGGGATGGGTGCCGAGGGGGCGCCTTTCCAGGGTTCTGGATCGAGAGGATGGGTTTGTGTGTGTCTCCTGTAGTGGGTGGAGCAGAGTGGGCTGGGCCCTGTGACAGACCCCGTATGTCCTCCCTCATGGGTGGGGGGCTGGGGAAAGCCCACCCTCGTGGAGCTTCCACTCATTCTAGTTTGTGGTCTCTCTCATGCTTCCCCTCAGGGCACGTATGAGCCTGGAAAGCGTCATTGGCTGAAAGTGAAGAAAGACTACTTGAACGAGGGGGCCATGGCTGACACAGCTGACCTGGTGGTCCTTGGGGCCTTCTATGGGCAAGGGAGCAAAGGTCAGGGTGGCCTCTGGCCCCTGGGATGGTACCTCTTTGAAAGGCACTATCAAGGTCTAGGCTGCCTTTTTCCTGGGTTGATCTGCTAGCATGACCAGTCATGGCTTCCAAAGTTCCGGGATCAGGGGCCTCAAGGGCACCCATGTTACCTCTGGCAGGGACATTGAGAGCTGCAGACCTGGGCGGGGGGAAGTCAGGCAAGAATGCCCTTTGCTGGCCTGGCTCGAAGAAGCTTCTCACCAACTGTTTCTTCAGGGCCTGGCAGCTTCCTCCTCAGGGAAGATCTTAATTTCCTGACTGGAGGGGAAGCTGGGGTCTGAGGAACTGCGGCTTGTAGGCATTCTTCTGTGTGCCAGGCACTATTTAATTCCTTTTACTCCGCCAAAGCCCAGCATTATGTGTGATTATTCCTAATTTGCTGAAGAGGAAACTGGGGCTCATAGACGTGGAACTTAACACGGCTAGTAAGAGGTGAACTCTGGCACTCTGATGCGAAGGCCCAGGCCCTTTCCTCTCCAGCAGACTGCCTCTCTCAGGGCTCGTGGGGCTGGCAGAGAAGGCTCCCTCCACCCACAGCTTAGCCCATCCTCCCCTCAGGTGGCATGATGTCCATCTTCCTCATGGGCTGCTATGACCCGAGCAGCCAGAAGTGGTGCACAGTCACCAAGTGTGCAGGAGGCCACGATGACGCAACACTTGCCCGGCTGCAGAAGGAACTGGACATGGTGAAGATCAGCAAGGTGAGGAAGGGACCGGGGCCTGGCCCCTGGACTGGCAGCACGGCTGAGACAAGCTGTGCCTGGGGGGCTGCAGGTTTCAGTTATCGGTCTCAGCAGAGAGGAGAGCTTGCTGGTTGGCCAGAGGAGCAGTATTAGACCCTCCAATCTCTGAGCACCTACCTTGTGGAAACTGGCGTGCATGCCCTCTAGGCCACACCGTCTGGGCAGGGAGGATCCCACGGGGTGCGGGTCAGCCTTCTGTGATAAGTCACCTCTTTTGGCGAGCTCGTGACTAAGAAGGGCTTTAAGTCTTGCTTTGGCAACAGCCCAGGATGGCATCTTTTCTCCTCCAGGATCCCAGCAAGATACCCAGCTGGCTGAAAATCAATAAGATCTACTACCCTGATTTCATCGTCCCAGACCCAGAGGTATTAGTCCAGTGGCCTGGGGTCCTCCAGCCCAATAAAATTGAGCATGTACATTTTCTAGTGCCGCCAAGACGTCAGCTCAGCCTCACTGACAGTCCGCACAGGGATGGGGATCTGGCTGCTTAGCCAAGTGACAGGCAAGGGATGACCAGTCAACACTGAGGGAACTCTGAGTAGAGAGAGGAAGGGACTGCCCGTTCTCCAGTCACAGGGTCTGCTCTAGAAGTGACCTGGCCTAGGCCCTCCCTGCTCTGACAAGAGAAGCTGGGGCCCAGTCAAGAAAGGGGACTTCCCTGAGGTCACACAGCGTCAGCATCATCCGTGGGGCTCGAACCCGCCTCTCACCTGTGAGCCACTGCTTTCTTGGTCTTGTCTTCTTAACCTCTGAGTGACCTGACTTACTCCTGACAGAAAGCTGCCGTGTGGGAGATCACAGGGGCTGAATTCTCCAAATCTGAGGCTCACACAGCCGACGGGATCTCCATCCGATTCCCTCGCTGCACCCGAATCCGTGATGATAAGGACTGGAAGTCTGCCACTAACCTCCCCCAACTCAAGGTGCCAGCTCCTAGGCTGCGTGTGTGCCGTCCTCCCCGCCGCCCCAGCCTGGGAACCTTGGGCACCTGGCCTCACGTGTTCTGTCTTCTCTCCCCCATTCACCAAGACAGGCAAGGAGGGCAGCTATTAGAAAGAGAGACTGAACTGTTGGGGGCCAGGAGCAGCAGCACTGAGCCTCCGCACCGAGTAGACAGCCCTGCCTTCACCGGGCCCGCTGAGCAGCCCTGGGTCCTGGAGAGGGAGAGCTCCTGCCTCTGCCTCCGCCTCCTGTGGGGGACCTGGCCCCAGGCCACGGTCTCTACTTGCTGATAAGAACTGGGGAGCAGAGAACAGTGCTCTGTGCCGATTATTCCAGAAGCAGGGCCAGAGTTTAGAAAAATACCAAGGAAGCTGCCACTTTTCCCTGCTGTGTCTCTCTCCCCTTTGTTCTTCAGCCACATGCGCCTGAGACCTACCACACAGACTGCCTGAGGCCAGTGGCTGGGGAGGGAGTGACACACCCGACCTTCTCCCTCCTTCTCAGGAACTGTACCAGCTGTCCAAGGAGCGGGCGGCCTTCACCCTAGTGGCCGGAGATGAGGGGAGCTCCACCACAGGGGGCAGCAGCGGAGAGAACGAGGGCACCTCGGGGCCAGCTGTCTCTCATAAGGCTCCGAGGGCCTCCCCCAAGAGGCCCTCGGCCAGTGCCAAGAAGGCAGGAGAGAAGCTGAGTGGCTCCGACGGCAGAGGCGGTAAGGAGGAGGAAGGCGGCCAGGGTGATGAAGAGCGGCTGTGAGGACGGGGTTGTGTCCAGCCATGGGCCAGAAGCTCTTCTGCTGGGCGCCTCCTGCGCTGCAAATCTGAATGACGGGATGCAGGGAGCGCCCATCTGATCAGGGGATAAGCCACCTCTGAACTAAGGCTCAGCTTACACCCCTTCCCCCCCGTCTCACCCATGCTCAGAGCGGAAGGGCCTGGCCCTTCTCTTTGCTGCCCTGACTTCAGAGACTATTATCAGCTCCCCTGCCCTCTTAGTTCTTATCCCGAGCTCTCTCCTGCAGGCACCAAGCTGGCTGCAAAGCCTTTCCCTGTGAAAGTGGGAGAGAAGCGGAAGGCCCCCGATGAGACCCCGTGCCAAGCAAAGGTGAGGGTAGCAGTGCGCCCAGGGGGCCTGGTGTTCCCAACCCTCTGCACTTGGAACTCTGAGAGATGAGCAAAGGTGTTACCAGGACTAACTGCCAACCCAGCCCCCTGCCCTCGTGCGGGTGCTCGTGGCCGTGGGCTGGGCTGGCCGGGACGCAGTTCCACCCCGTGCCCTCTTGTTGCCTTGCAGAGGCGGCCAGCCAGCCAGCAGAGAGGAAGGAGAGCCGTGCCCACAGGCAGGAGATAGGCCAGCCTACCTAGCGGAGAGGCTGCAGGGACGCCCCTGCTGCCGCCCCCAAGTCACAATTGACATTAAAGGGGAGAAAGCCGTCTGGGTGTGGGGGTGCAGCAGTGTGAGTTTGTGAACCCGGCCAGCGGGCAAGGAGGGGAAGGCACTGGCTTGGTGGCCATCCTTTCCGCTCTCATACTCCCTCATTAGTCTTTGGTTTGACAACAGGTGTCGAGCACCTGTGGAGGCCAGTAACTCGGCTCAACCCTGGAGGAGCTGAGGGCCCAAAGCACAGATAGACAAGTCAACATTTGGTCACTGCACGGTTGATTGTGCCACCACCCCCACCGAGAGTAAGCACCAGGGTCTGGGAACTCAGGCCCTGAACCTAGTCCCCAGAGGACCTGTGGGGCCTTACCATCTTCTCCCTACCTGCAGCCCTCAAATCTGCGCGCAGTCCCAGCAGCGGTCCTGGCCCCTTGGTCCAGCTGGTGCAGAGTGGACTGCTCGATTCAGCAACATCCCTGCGTCTGAGTGCCACCAGCCGTGCCCACCAGCCACTAGATGGTCCTTAGAGACGTGTACTTTTCCATTTTCCAGGTCCCCAGTGTTAGGCCCCGTCCCCTCCCCCTTCCTTCTTTTTCCCCTAGGCAAGGATGGAAAGCTGTGTAGTCCTGTGCAATCTGGAGTAGCTAGAGGATGGGGGTTTTGATGCCTTCACCTTTTCTCCAGTAAACTCTTTCCCCGTGTGTCCTGACCCCTAGGCTCCCTCTCTCTGGATCTCGTTCTAACCTCCTTCTCCGCTCTTCGCTCCTCTGGGTGGAGAGCCATCTGCCCCAGCACAGTCCAGCCCCACCTCGGGCCCACCCTGACCACTGTGCATTTGCAGGTGCTGCTGGACATCTTCACTGGGGTGCGGCTCTACCTGCCCCCTTCCACTCCAGACTTCAGTCGTCTGAGACGCTACTTTGTGGCATTCGATGGGGACCTGGTGCAGGAATTTGACATGGCCTCAGCCACACATGTGCTGGGTAGCAGGGACAAGAACCCCGAGGCCCAGCAGGTCTCCCCGGAGTGGATTTGGGCATGTATCCGGAAACGGAGACTGGTAGCCCCCTGCTAGGACTGCTGCCTCCCCCTCCCTCACGCCGTACCCTACCCCACCACGCTACTCCTGGACCGGGCGCCGGCTGGGCAGGCAGACATAGGACGGCAGGAGGTGGGGACAGGCTTCTTTCTCCAAGCTGCACAGCTTCCAAAACCAACCATGCATGGTCTCTTCCCAGCGAGAGTTAGTGGCTGTGGGCATCACCAGTGAACTCAGTTTCTCCTGAGGTTCACATAGATCTTTCAGATCTGGGTGCTGGTTTTGTTGTTTTTTTTTCCCCTTCTTTAAAAAGCAGCTTTTCTTTTTAAAAAAAATAAAATAAAATAAATGAACTATCTTGGTGGTCTCTCTGTCCTCCCACCCACCCCCAGCCACTGTAACTCCCCTAGTGCTTAAGGAGTGAAGGGAAGGCTGGCTGTTGAAGCTGTTCAGTGGCAGTCTTCTCTCCCTCGCCTGCCCCTTAGACTTCCAGGCTCATTTTAAAGTTGTATTTAAAAAGACTCCTCAGAAATGCTTATATTTGGCAAAACTTTTATTCAGCCTGGCTCTTTTTGCAATGAAGCCTCATTTGAAAGAAAACAATGAATTTTATGTCTTTAATTCTCTGTGTTCTCCTATTCCAGGGTGTGGGTCTGGTTTGAAGGGAGGGGACCAGGATCAGGTAGTAAAACAGGGCCTATATGGAGAATAGGGAGGTTGTCTGGGCTGCTCCTTGGGGAGACAGGGCTCCAGGAGAATCTGCCTCCCCAAAATCTGGACACAAGGCTGCTCTTTAAAAACCCACCTGAGAACAGATCTACACAGCCTGCTTACAGAGAATGGCTCTTATGCCACCCGAGGCTGATTGATTTATTTGAATAAAAGGAAAATAGTTCAGCATAGACGAGTACTGTTCAATTGAAGTTTTAACAGCACCGGATTCTGTAAATCACTGGCCGGTGTGAACCAGCTGCATTCGCCTGCTGAGCACATGTTGAGCACGTGAAATGTGCTAACACAGCTGAGGAACTGAACTTTCCATTTTCATTCAACTTTAGTGAGTACCACATTGGACTATGCAGGTGTAGATAGACCTGTTTCAAATTGAGCCCTGAAACTTAACAGCTGTAACTGTAGAGGAATGGGCAGGGAAAAATCAGTAAGTACACTCAAGATGCGTTATGTGAGGCACTTAGCACGGAGCCTGGCATGAAGTTGTCTAGAGTCGGGAAACACTGGCATGAGCCCCTGCCCAGGGGAGGGGGCCTGGCCTGTAACTTCAGAGCTGTCACACCACTTCCACAGCCTCGCACCTGCATGTTCCAGCTCCCGCTGGTCTGAGTGCAGCCTCATCATGGCACCATCTGGTTTTGAACTGGCTTCTAACTCAGTTCTGCTGACTTCTGAAGGTCCACTCTCATTCTCGTTTCTTAACAAATTGGCAGGCTTGTTTGTCCAGCCCCCGTGAGCGAGGTTAACGTGACTCAACCTCTGAAACTTGCTCAAGTCTGTGTGAGTTGCCCCCCCCCCCGCCCCCGCCAGTGTGCTTGGCTAAGGTCCTGCTCTGCTGAGAGGCCAACTACAACCTGACTGACCTGGGTTTCCACCTGCTGGTTAAAACATGTTGGGAGGAAGGGGCAGGAGGAGGTGGTGCCGCCCTGACTCTAGGCCAGGATATTTGGTGTTTCTGAATAGGCACCCTTCAGTCTGGCTTCAGGATTGAGAATAAGACACTCTTTCTACCCTCTGTGGAGACCAAAGCTGCTGCTCCTCTGAGTGCTGACCTACATAAATTTTCATCGCCCTCTCCAGCCGCCTCAGGCCAAGCAGCTGGAGAGGGCAGCAGAACCAGGCTCTCCCCTTGGGATTCTGCCCGCAGACACTGCCGCTGCCCTCTGGCCTGGCTGATCCAGCCCCACCTGCCCCTGCGGTCTCACTCAGGGCGCACTTGCCCAGCAAAGAGGCCTGCCCCTCACTGGGTGCGCTACCTGCAGGTCACTGTCAGAGGTGTTTATTTCCTTCCAGTCTTTCTGACACGTTTGTTTTTTCTGCTGCTGAGGTTATTTACAATTTTGTGTTCGTGTACTTCCAAAGATCCTAAGCAGTATCTTCTTAAACCTCCCCGGCAGAGCCCTGGAGGCCTGCCCTCTTTTGAGCCTTTGTTTATTTGCTTCTGGTTGGCAGCAGGCAAGAGGTCATCCTGGGTGCTGTATGGGTCAGCCGCCCAGAACAATGAGGACAAAGTGCTGTGGCTCAGCTTCAAGCCTTTACACCCTTCTGGCACAACGCCTTCTCCTTCAGGCAGTCACAGCGCAGAGTTGCGCTTAATCTAGCTCTCCCAAAGGCTGCGTTCTCAGGAGTCCCTTCTCCTGGCACCTGCTCAGGAAGGTATACAGACTTGCACAGACATGGCAGTGTGCCTCAAGGCTGGGCCAACCTCAGAGCCACACTCCAGCCACCACAGCTGCATCCACAAGCTCCTGTCCATCTCCCAGGGTCATGTGAAGACTTAACTAGGCACCCTGACTGCCCTCAGATTCCTTTCTACCCACGTCTTTAAGGTCCAGCTCTACCAAGGCGGAGTCAAATGAACTCACCTGATGCTTCTTCGAAGCTATTTTAGTCTGAGGATTGGTCCTTTTCCTACCCAGCTCCCATCGTCTTCTAGGCTTTTCCATGACCAAGGCCACATGGCCCAAGCATCTCCAAAAATAATGCAGTCTATCAAGAGCATGCCTGTATGCACACGGCCTGGGATTAGCCTGTGGTTTATCACTTCATGTCAGACTTAACAGACCTCTGGCATCCTCACATCAGATTGGACAGGCATCTATAATGGAACTTTATTACAAAATTATAAAGCAGAGCTCTGTAACAAAAAATACACATTTGGGTTTGCTTTAACACCCAAGTAAGTCTGAGAAAATATTAATATAAGCCACTTGAAATAACACATTCACATCCAAAAGAGTTCAACAAATTTATACAATATATATTGAGCACTAATTCCTGTACAGCTTACTCTTACTAGCGTGGATCCAGCTATTGCAATGTATTATGAACCAGTCAGCTATCCAAGGCTTTTAAAACAAGTCTCAACTGAAATCTCAGAACAATCACAGCAAAAGCCATGGAATAACTGGAAGAATTAGATGTTTCCATGATAATTAAGACCAAGGATCCATGAGGGGCAGGAGAGAGCATTAAAGGATAAAAGTCAGGGTCTCTGCCTAGATTAGATAGTAACTGAACATAGGGTCTGGGGATTCCCAACTTTTATCTGGTAAAATAATGAAGATAACAAAAAATGGACAGGGGAGTGTTTGACACCTTTTTCCCCAAATGGAAACCTTCACCAAAAGAGATTAGAAGAATTCAAGGCAGGTTCTTTCTCCAAAATGAGTAAATGACATCAGTTCTCTTATTGAGGTTACAAACCAATCATCCGGATATTAACTCATGTCTAGGAGGGAAACAGAGGTAGGGAGAGGTAAGGCCTCAACAGAGAAAGCAAGTTTTAAACAGGGAGACAGAGCCAGCTTCTGCTCTGCAGTTATTGCTAGGCTGTAACGGAGCTGCATACATGCAGACCTGCTTCACAGTGGGACTGAGAAGTAGCTTGAATCCTTTGCTAAACTAGTAGGCACTGTAAACTAGTATTTACTGTCCAGCAGAAAGGTGAAAGATGGTGTCTTCATAGGGAAACCTTGAACCCCCCAGTTCCCTACAAAGGCAGTAGCCCAGAATCAATCACTGAGGACTTGGTATAACGTGGAGGTAAGTGGCCCAGTGTTCAGCTGACAGCCACTTTATGAAATTATTTCACTCCCCCAAAGAGGATTAGCGGTACCAATAAACAGGTTCCCTTAGAGGTTTCTCACTGCTCTCCAAAGTCATGGTTGGTTCTTCAAAGTCTTGGCTGTGGGGGTGGGGAGGCGTGACTGCCAAGGCCCTCAGGTGTTTAGGGTTTGCATAGTTCATCCAGTGGTCATGGCTGCACACACGCTCTTCTGATCGTATGCATGTTTGTGCTTGGCTAAGCTTCTCCAGCAGACTTTCCTTACGCTCTTCCAGTGGTGAAAAGACCCTAATATCACTAATTCATTCCACAGTCCTTCCTAAAGGGCCTGGAGAATGCCTGTTCCTGACCTGCCCCCAAGTCAGTAGGCTAAGAAAGGGAATGGGAGTAGGGAGTCCCCACCAACCTGGGGAACTAAAACTTCCAGCTGTCTACTCAAGGGCTGAATCCAACCTCATTCAGTACCTTCTGAACCTCTCAGGTACTCTGTCCTGCATACTTGGCCTCCAGGAACTTCATGGGAAGTCTGGCCAGAGAAGAGTCAGGCTCTCTGCCTAAGTCTGTGCCTCCAGTGAGACCGTGTTTAAAACCTCCGCGGGAAAAAGACTTCATTCTCAAGAAAGACTGATAGAAGCCTTCTCTGTTGGAGAAGTCAAAAGCTAAGCAGAAAGCCACTGCTTCCACCCAGTGCCTTCCCTCTTCTCAAAAACTAGAATGAAGGATGGTGCAACGTCGGGCCCTAAGAGGAGCAGAGATGATCCATGCACCAGCTCACGCACAGAGACCAGAATTTCCCAGGAGTTTGAGAGCTAGATGCTTTGTTGGCTCCCAAGGTCCGGTCAGGAGACTGATAGCTTCCAATCCCAGCACTTTAGGAAGCAATTCTTAACGACTTCAAAAACTTTCAATGGTATTTGTGTTTCATTTCTCACCAGAGATAAGTTTACTGGCCCAAATCCTGTCCTAAGGAGGATTACTATTGGTCTGGTAAGCTAACATCTTTTTGGTCTGAAGAAAGAATGCATTTTAGGTAATGAAGCAAGAGACTTTAGCAAAGGTTGGTTGTAAAGCACAGAAAGCCAGAGAGACCAGAAGTGAACCCAGGTGTGCTGGGGAGGAAGAGAGGCATCTCTACCAAGACTTCTCATGGGTGAAACAGAGGCACACAGCTCAGGCGGGTGGGCAGACTCCAGGAGGAAGGGTGAAACTGTTTAGGTTCTCAGAGGAAGGAAGAGATGGTCCAAACTGTGGAAAGTCCTCTCTTCATCAGTCACCATAATCACCCCAAGATCACTGAAACTGGGACTTGCCCGTGTGATCTACCAGTTCCCACTGGCCTCGGGCTCTGCCAGCCCCAAGCTGCACCTCTGAACCAAGACAGGCATGCCAAGAGGTGACACAGCATCATTGCTTGCCCTGGTCTTGGGAACACTGCAGATTTCCTTGTTGGCCTGCCCCCTGCAAGCTGGCCAACTGTGGGCCTAGATACCTTGAGCTATGTCCCTGTAAGGCACTGAAGAAGCCGGTACAAGCCCTCAGGATCGGAAGACGTGTACGGCTCGGATCACGTACTGCCGGCAGATGGGACACTCGTTCATGCGCTTGCCGCACTTGGTACAGGTCACCATGTGGCCACACTCCAGCAGAACACAGTCAATGGGCGAGTCCATGCAGATCCGACACAGGTTCTCTTCTAGACTCGACGGCACTGCTCCCCCTGTACCCACACAGAGCAGAAAAGGGGCAGAGGGGACAGTAAGAAGACTGTCTTAAGTGTATGGGGTGGGGACGGGGTGGGGAGAACAGGCACACTGTGAAACCCCCCTAAATCCACACGCTTCCTCAGACAGAACTAGAAAACTCTCCCCCAGTAACTAATTCCACTTGCTAGTTTGATCTGCACCTCTGTAGGTCAGGCTATAGATTTGAAAAGTAAAGAACTTGAAGATCAAAGGCATCCTAGAACATGAGAATTAAATACAGCAAAGTCCTCAAAGCTTAAAAGAAGTCATTTTTGTACAATTGAGGCTGTAATCCACTGAATGAATGGCACTCAGGGACTCAATATCCCCTGAGGCAGAACATGCTGAAAAGATAAAACTGGTTCAGAAAAGTTCAGATATAGATGGAGCTGTAAGGAACAGTTCACTAAGGATCACGAGGCTTATCTGTAAATACATCCCCAATTTAATAAAGCCAAGGATCACGGGAGGCCCCTGGGCCATGCCACAGACTGCCCCCGGGCTCCCTCTCAGACCCCCTGGTGCCAGAGCCCAGCAGAGATCACGGCTTCCTCCTCTGTGCACCCCACGCACAACTGTATTCATACTCCAGTGACTGCTCATCACACTGGATTAGGATTTCTGGTTTTGCCTACTTGTCTCCCCCACTACACTATATGGGCTCCTAAATTCAACAAATTCAATTTCTACAATTATATAACTGGCTTCTGCTTTATGCTCTGAGGTCTGATTCTCATCTCTGAACCCCTGAAACGCCAGTCACGTGGGAGATGCTCTCTGGATGTCTGATAAATGAACATGCCCCAAGGGACTGATAACAGCTCACATTTACTGAATTGCTTCCAGGAGCCAGGCGGGGTCCTAAACACTTTGCATGTTTTAACTCATTGAATCCTTACAAAAACTATCAAGTAGGTACTCTTGTTACTCATTTTATAAATGAGGCAACTGAGACCAAAGAGTTAAGTGGCTTGCCCAAGGATTCAAATTAAGGCAGGCAGGCTTCTGGGCAAGTGGCCTGAGGGCAGGGACTCCAAGACAGCATTAACTGCTCAGTGCAGACTGTTCTCAGTGACAGCTCACTGGCTTGTGCCAGTGGTAACATACAGTGGGCACGGCCAGTATCCTAGTTCAGCTGCAGGAACAGAAAAACCTTCACGTCCAAGCAGCCATCTCCAGCACATTTTAACTGGTAGCCTGACCTGGCCTAGTACCAGCCACCTCTGCTGTTCCCTCATACTCTGTTGCTTCTGCATTTCTTTTCTTGTTCCTGGACTATTGAAAAAGTGAAGAGATACCTGTGGTGGGCTGGCTATGAGAGTTAGTGAAACCTATTTACCCCCCGGAGGAGCTGTTGGCCCTACCAGGGAAGGTTTGGAAACAACTGAATTATATAAATACCCAAGATGAGCAAGAATAATTTACACAATTTCACTACTGACTACTTCTCTCAGGATTAACAAGCCCATCAACTCAGGTGCCAGCATTGTCCCAGGGAATCAGAAAAAAGGAAGGAAGACACCAAGTGGAGTGGCCAGATCTTGGTATTAGGAGAGGGTCTAGATCTCCAAATGATCTGAGGGAGCTCAACTCTCGAAACTTTATCAGCCAGAATACTGTGCCCCATTCTGAGCAAAAGGCCATTTTACTAAATAATGAATTTGGAGAGTCTTCTGAAAAAAAGTTTTAAAATGCTTTGCAGGCCCCTACACTGAGAACATTCTTTCTTGGTGAAAAGCTTACAACCATACAGCCTTCAGGCTTTCAAAAACGGCTGACATATTTTAGAATGATCCAGTATGATTTCTGCAATGCGTTCAGGGGGTATCCAGAGGCCCAGTGGTGGCTGAGTGCCATACAGAGCACTAGATGTGACACCTCCCCTGATTTGTTCCCAGAGCAGCTCTAACCACTGCCCAGCCCTGTATAAACAAGGTTATCAGGTCATCACACCCTTTCTTTTGGGTTGGTACCAGAAGCTGATAAATATCCAAGTGACTTCCCTGAAGGTGCACAGAGACTCTCCCGACTTAGACCGAAATAGAGTGAAAACTGTAGGGGAGGGAATGCCTTAGTCCCAGGAGTAAGGAAGATGATCCGGACGTGCCAGGTGCCACCACTTGCTTTGTGGAATACCTTACAAATGCTGGTTTCTGCACTCTGACAATCCAGAGGCATGCAGATCATGCTGCCCCTAGGTGTGCTGCCTGCCACTCCTCTCCCTTCCCAGGGACAGCAATGGGATTTTCTAAAGATGCTGAGAAGCCTTGGTTCTCAGTGAACTCCCTACACCCTCTCTGGATACAGATATGCTCAAGATTCTCAGACTGTTAACAGGAATCAGGGCTGATGGAGGGAAAGGACAGAAGAGCTGAGAGCCTAAGCCTGTTCCCAAACAGGAACAACTACGTACCGTTTTGGTCTTCAGCACCACACACTGAAAAGGGAAGAGAAAGAAGTTATCTGAACATGTGATGGCATGAGAAAAGTCTCCACCCACCCTGACTTCACTTCTGAACTCTGACTGCTCCCCTGCTGGGACCCAGGCCGGCCAGGAGCCCAGACAGACCCCCGGCCCTCCTCACTCACGCTACACGTGGAGAACTCACACACAGCTCCTGCCGGTGCGTCTGGTCTAGTCTTAGAAAAAGGGATTCCACTGCTTTGTCATGAACAAAACTGCCGAGTAGGAAGGATACTTCATAGGCACAATGTCCTTTTCTATTGCTTTTGAAGCCAGGATTAAAGTCAGGAAAGGAGGCGCAGTCTGTTCCAGTCAGCCAGGGAGTGTGGTGCAGTTCCCAGCAGAGCCATCTATTCCCCAGGTCCTCACCACTCTAGGGAAGCTCTGGGGACAATCCCAAAGGGAAGAGTGTGATCAGGTGACTAGTCAGATGTCTCCTAACTCTGATGAATTTGAGCTCTTGGGAGAAAATGTGAAATCTGACTTCAACCACTATTAGCAGGCAAGGAATCAAAATGTTGACCTGAGGGATCCAAGCCAGTTGGGGGGGGGGTGCAGGGATGAGGGTAGTTTCTGAGTGAAGTCATTTCGGGAAATGCGGAGTTGCAGACAGCTGAACACACCTCTCTCTGTAAAGTATCTTTTCCCAGAAACTTATTTGACCACAGACCTCGATACTTTTCTGGGCATGGCTGAAAATGATATCATGTAGAATGCTTTGGGAATGAACAAAAGGAACAGCCCAAGTGCAGGCAACACAGACACAGCCCTCCTGCGCGGTATGTGCACAGATAAGTACTGGCAGAGGGGGCAGTGAGTATGGAGTGGGGGACGGACGTATGGTGGGAAAGGCCAGAGGCTTAGACCAGGAAATCCTCAGTTCAAATCTGGGCTCTACAAGAAAAGATGTATTAATGCCTATTTCACAGACTGTTGCAAGGATCCAGTGCCTAACCTGATCCTAGCACTCAACTCCAAAGGACAGCTATTATTAGATGGTGCGAATGCGTCAGGTGACTCCTTCCTGGGCTAAAAGCATGGAAATTTAGTCAGGTTGATGTCAACTATAAAGCATGACAGCCAACACTCTGGAAATCTGTGCAGCTGCCACCCAGAAGGCCCCTCACCCAGGTGCTGCAGTCCCTTCTGATCCTTGTACAGCCGCGTCACCCTCTCCATCAGCTCCCACTTCTCACAGCAGCCCTTGTAGTTGACGAAGTTGCGAGCCAGGATCTCTTTGAGCTGCCGCACAGTCAGACCTTCGATGTCCTCCAGGTCGGTCAGGTCAGACAGAGAGGCCCTCCGGCCCGGGACGAAGCTGTCCTCTGAGTCCACGGACTGCAAAGGCAAAGATGAGATCGGTGGGCTTAGCACCCCAGCCCCAGCCAAGGCTCTCTCTCCAAGGACTCTAGAGCCCTCATCTCCCTGTAACTTTTGATGACTGACCTCAAGAGGAATAGGAACAGAGGTAGGAGGAGGACCTGGTACGGTGCTCTGCACCGCAAAATAGGCCACAGCCTCTTCCTGACCCAAGTTCCGTGTGCAGGCACGTCCGGCCACACACCGACCGATCAGTGTGACCCGGCAGGAGGAGCAGCACTGGTCTGGGTCAGACGGCCCCAGTTCTGAATCCTGATTCCTCCACTGATTAGTGCTCAAAGAGTATGGAACAAGCTGCTCACCTCTGAGCCCCTCTGCCCTCCATAAAGAGGAGGCCCCACCACACAGGTTCCCGTGAAGGTGAAATGTGGCAGCACAAGGAACCCACGAGAATGGTGCTGGCCACCCCCCCAACCCTGGGAGAGTTCCGCTTTCCCACGGAAGAAGCCAACTTCCTGGGGAGCGCTCTTCTCTCCGCAGCCTCGACCGCAGCTCCACGGCCCTGATGGCTGTGCCCTCCGGACTGGCCCCGCCACGGCCGAGGCCTGAACCCCTTCTCACCTTTCCTCCTGATTACCTGGCCTCCTAACCCTGACGATGGCTGCTGTGCACTAGAAGCAGAAAGAAAGGCCAGGATTCACACAGCGGCACCAGGAGCCTACCCCCTGGCAGCTCCAAGAATCAAGAGACGAAACTAGTGGGCCATGCGGCTCCCCACTCTCCGCTGTGACCTCACAGCTCCACACTGACACCTTCCAAGGTCGCTGTGGAACGCTAGCACTAAACTCCACCCCTGAAAACAGAGTGTCAGAAGGACTGTCATCACACACTGATCCTTCTCTCTCCACTCTGAGTCGGCTGAGAGGTTCCTAGGGACAGCCTCAGAACATGGGGGGATCAGAGGCCCCACCTGGGTCTCCTCCTCAGCAGGTGCTCTGGCCGTGCTCTCCGGGTGGATGGGCTCCTCTTGGTCCTGAGACACATGGCCATTGGCCTGTGGGAAGAGAAAGGTGCCATGACATCCACAGAGATGTCCCAGGGCTTTGCACAGCACAGGCCTCTCCCCAGCTCACACAGTGCTCCCGTCTCCCCCAGCAATCTGGAATCTTGCACAACAGCATTACAAAGGCTGCTCTTTAGCAACACTGTCAGGCAGAAAAACAACACAAATAGATGTCAACTCTAGAACAAGAGTGCATTAATTCTGCCCACCACCAGGATGGCATTACCGCCGCCACCGTCAGTTTAGTCTCAGCTTGAACACTCTTGAGCAGAAGGAAGGTCACACACCCACTGCTCTGTGGACTGCTCTCTGCCATCGAGTTTCTTCTTGATAATGACTTCAAACTGCCCTCCCTACAACTTCCACCCACCATCCCTGGTTTTGACCCTCAGACCAGTGTCAACTGTTTTCTTCCCAACTGTTCATATCATGTCTTCCCTTCCTCCACACTGAATCTCCCTGGCCTCCCCATCTGGCCCAGATGAGACACGGTTTCCAGACCCTCACCACCCTATCCCCTCCATTCCGGCTAATCACTGCTCTCACGTTCTAGAAATGTGCTCCAACCAGCAGGGTGCACTATTACTAAGAGCTGTCTTGAAACCTGGTCAGAATTATTTTAATGCATCTAAGAATCTATTAGCCTAAGACTGTATCAGACAAATGCCTGTGCTTAAGAAGTTTCATTCTGCTTAGAATTCTAATTTCTCAAGAGGTTCCTCCAGAATACTGCAAAGAGTAGTCAGAACAGTGAGTCTCCTAAATCTCATCACCATATAAGCCACAAATCCCTTAACTAGATCCTCTTTACTCACTGCTCCCAGCTGGCAAAGGGCCTAGTGTGAGCCCAGAGCAAAGAGGTATCTGAGCTCACAGGCCTTTTCCACTAGACTCTTCAGAGCACCAGAAAAGGGACAAGCTGAAAAACCAGTCACTCACTGGCCCCAGCCACTCATCTCAAATTAGGATGCATAATATGGAGCTAATTAAGAAGAGGCAAGTAACCTCACAGTGGAAGTGAAGGGCAGAAGCCACAAACACCACCAAAACTGCCACGTGATGACGGGCTCCCATACACAGCATACATGTATGAAGAAGATGCATCTAAAACGTTGTCTAGTTTCCTCCTAGCTTTAAGTGGATGTGGTACCCCTCGCCTCCTGGTGTCACCTTGGAGTTAGTCTTTCAGAGCCTAACCTCTGCCTAAGTAGACAGCTTTTATATATCCTTTTTGTTTTCCCCAAGAAAGAGAAACTAGATCTCATGCTGCAGAGCACACTCCTCTCTTTTTGGTTTGCCCGTGGGCTAAATCAGAACCTACCACGAGGATCTGCCCATTGCTGGGCTCACTCCACACACTTCCTTCCACCAGCAACTAGTGCCTGGGAAACAGGAAAAGGAAGGAAGCCGGGCGCGGCAAGCGCTCCGAGCAGATGGGCACCCTGATGCAGCTCACTGTACAGTTGTCGGGCAGCCTTGCACAAGTCACCTCGCTTCCCCGGTTCTTCTGGCTTGCAAAATGCAGACCTCACAACAGGGGATGTGAGCTGAACTGTAGGCCATCTGACAAAACCAGTGAAGTACCCAATGAGATCTGATAACACGGTATGCCCTGTGGGTACAGTCTGGAAACTTCTGATTAATAAAAGAAAGCTTAAAACCAACTCCTTTTATTGAAAAACCCACCTGAATTTTTTTTGGGGGGGGTTCCCTCGCGGTACTCTCCTGGCTCCCCACAGAGAAAAACACTCAACCAAGCAAAGGGAGGAGGTCAGAGCAGGAGGTAAAACCTGTCCAGCAGACAGAGCCAGACTTCTGGAAAGAGTTAAACTCCAGAGCATGCTGGGGAGAAAGCAGCCAACAAGGGAGCCAACAAGGGAGTGAAACGAGCTTCCTGCAGGTAAAGAGAGCTGTCACAGTGGCCTTTATGCCTCAGTGCTCGTCAGAGCTGAATCAGGGCCCCGTCCTGGCAGAGGAGGTGATCATCAACACGAGGCAGCAGCCACCCACACCTGTGAGGGACGGACAACACCCCTACACGCTGCTCTGAGAGGCTCAGAGCTCTTCAGACATGAGATTGTGCTAGTCAGTCCTTCCAGCATCCTGCCAAGAGCAAAAGTGGTCCGGACCACTAACCCCATTTCACTGTAAAGGATCAAACTTCACCCATGTTGACCCAAGGATCGGTGACAAATTGGACGTGGAAACCGGATCTCCTAGGTCCTAAACCTCCCACTACTGCCCAAGCTATAGAAATACAAGGGTCACCAAAGCACTGAAGTTTATCTATGGGACACCTTCCCGCCTCCCACAATGGTGAGGTCCACCAGCATCACTCTAACCCTGTAGCTGGTTTCTGTCTACCTTCCCCCTTTAGAGGGGCTTTCTGAGGGCAGGAGCAGTGGATTACTCACTTCCACCCTTGCCATGCCTATTTCGTAATTCATCCGCTGTGCTGTGCTGACCATCCCCAGGCCCGACTGGGATGCTGAAGAGGCCGCTTACTGTCCCCCGGCCCGCCCACCTCTCCCCACCCGGACAGAGGCTGGCAAGAGAAGTGGCGTCCTTGCAGGAAGTCAGTGTTTCCCTCCTCTCCCTTCCCTCTACACGGTCCTTTTTTCCCTCTGTGCCTTGTGATGGCCACTGAGGAACCGGATTCCCTATCCCACTAAGGAAGACCACGACAAAGCTGAACAGAACTAAATGCAGAGACTAACAGTGAGTTTTCTCAAAATATTTCTGTGACAATTAAATTTTTAAAGCTGTCTAACTGGGATATGTATGTATTAAAAACAAACAAAAAACAAAAACCTGGTACCCTGAGTCAGTATCTCTGGAAAAAAGTGAAAACAGGAGTCTGATGTCCAGAAAGCATCCGCCACGATCAGTAAGCAGAACGGGGTCACATAATTGAGATGCTCGGCCTCGCCCCTCCCACCGCACGGGGAGGGGGAGGAAAACGAGCCCCAAACTGGCAGAGACCGCAAGGCCGCCAACGGCCCATACCTGAGCCCGGGCTGGCAGCGCGGAGGAAGACGGTGCAGGTGAGGAGGGGAGGCTGGAGGAGGTAGGCGGTCCCGTGCTGGTGTGAGGCTGGCTCAGGAAGGCCTGCTGCTCGGGGAAGTCCGGGGACAGGGTAGGGGCGTGAGTCCTGCCCTCCTGGGCGCTGGCAGGCTGCTGGCCGAGCACCAAGAACACCAGCTCCTCCTTCTCCCGGCACATTTCAGTGGAGATGTCATGGAGGCTGAGATAGTCCCTCAGGTCCTTCACCTTCATCTTCATGAGCTCTTCCCGCTGGAAGGCTGTGGCTCGGAAGCGTTGGCAGAGAAGGCAGAGGCGGGGCCCGCTCCCCACTTGGCTCGAGCAGGTCATGCAGAAGTTTTTCTTACAGTCCAAGCAGGTCTGCTGTTTAGAGCAAGAAGCAGAGGAAACCACGTCAGACCGTGAGAAGAAGACAGAGAGCATCGGGAGCTGAGGGCAGCCTGGCCCGCGAGGCCTCCTCCATCACTCACCGAGCTCCTCTTCCAACCGGGGCACAGGCCACCTTGCAGAGCTCAGGTTAAAAGCCACTCAGAGGTGGCAGAGGCCCTGGACACACCACGTATCCACACACAGGACACTATGTGGATTGTTTCAACTGAGGCTCACTTTATTCATCTTGTTGACGGGGAAATGGAGGCTATGAATGGAGACTACCAGCTTTGGAATAAAAAAGCCCTGCATTTTTATGAAGTCTCTGGCCTCCGTTTCTTGTGGCGCCACCTTGGCAGTGTAACTTAGCCTCTCTGGCCCTCAGTTTCCTCGTCTGTAAAGCAGGCAAGGTAACAGCAACCAGCCCCTGGAACTGCTGCAGTGGGGAGAGACTGCATTTGGCACGGCTGACACATGAGCCTTCAATGATGAGATCCAAGATTCAAATCCTCAACTATGTATGATTTTTTCTACTTTATCGCTCAGATAAGAGAGCAAATGCATAAAGGTTATGATGGGGACTGTTGTTACTGCAGATATTACTAACTGAGTTTACTGAGGGGCTACAATGCGCTAGAGCTATACTTGGCTTGCCATTTACTTCTTAAAGCAACCCTGCAAAGTACCTGTTTCACAGACAAAGCAACCAAGGCCTAGAGAGATTAAGCACCACGATCAAGGGCCAGCAGCAAAGAGTGGAGCTGGGTTTTACTCCAAGTATGTCTGAGTTTAATGCCCACAGTCATGCTGTTCCCACCAGGCCCTGTTGCCTAACGGCCCCACGCCAGCCTACAGCAGAGAGGAATCAAGGGCCTGGCTCTCTGTCTCCAAACTCCCAACCCAGGGCCCCATCATCCACTGAGGCTGGTGCCCAGGCTCTCCACCCCAGGAAGGCCCACTCGGAGAGCTGGGGATTCAGTGGTGCATGAGAGCATATCCAAGGCAAACACTTAGACAGCAACAGGAGGCCCTCTGGACGTGGTGAGGGAGCTCTCGTCTGTGAAAGTACAGAGCGTCTCGGATGGGCGACAAGAGCGCCTGGCAGGCAAGCTGGTACCGCCTGGCAGCAGCTACTCCCACAGTCGCAGACACCACAACACACGAAGGCTTGCAAGATTCGCAGGAAGCAAATCCCCAGCCTCCCGCAGGGTGAGTGAGCACACTGACACCTGACCAAGCTCTGTTCCAGCCAGGAGCAGGCCACACTCCACAGGGGTCATCCCTGGGCCCACGGGGATGATCCTGGAGGGCTCACTCACTAATCCTTTAAAAAAATTAAAAACTTTTCATCCTGTGGTGACTTGAGTATTAATCTAAATATTTCTGCTCCATCTTTTCTAAGTATAGAAAGCTATTCAAGCTAACAAGAATGCCCAAGAGACTTAGATTCCCAGAGTTGAAATCACAGCCACTCTTGTGTGGAGCTGAAGTCAAACTCCACATAGCTGAGGTAGTTATATTTAGTTTTGTCTAAGTGTCATTCGTATAGTAAAGAGACATGAGCTACCATCCATTTTTGACTATTAATACTTGGAAAGCACTGGAAAGGACACATATCAAGCTTCTTTATTCCCTACACTGTTACAACCAGACAATAAAATGTTCAGAAACTGATCTGAAAGGCTGCACAGCTGTACACGCCATCGTAATGGTTCTGGGACCAGCACTCAGGTGGAAAATGGATGTTTTGACGTGTGGCGGTTCCTTTGTATCTATAGCTTTTCTACTGGATAATGAGATGTGAACTGAGTGATGAACTGAGTGAAATGACCAGAAGTCCAGGTCATAAAGCTGTAGGTCCTGACCTGGAATATTATTTAAGTCAACGCAGTTTGGCAGGACCTAGGCCGACACGATTAAAAAACTCGGAGTTGCTCAAGCAGCCAGATCTAAACAACTCTCTTCTTCAAAGGTGTGGGGCTTACTGGATGTAAGGTCAGAATGCAAAGGCAGCAGCCCAGCTTCTATGTCTCCAACCCCAGCTCACCAGGAACTCTGAAGTCCTTGCATCTGAAACATACCCTGAAGGAAAGGAGAAAGGTCTAAAAAGCCCACTCTGCAGAGGCAGGAGAGAACAAAGGAGAAGGAAAAGCAGCTGTCAACATATGTGGGAAGAATGTGCAAAATTTGTATCAATTCTAGCTAATGGTACAAACCAACTGAGTAACGAGGTGGGATGAAAGATAACTTAGTGGAGCCGAAGAGCCTGCACAAACTCCAAGAGCCACATAATCACGAGCACTGGAAGGCTGGCAGGGGCTCCCCGGCAGGCACCGCCCCGCAGAGGCGCCCCCCCCACCGCTCCCCTTGGCCCAACTGCCCTTCTGTGTTCTGCCCCCTTCGCAGCCATGTTCCCTGGCACCAGCCAGCCCCACATTCTACCCCCCACCAACCCCTCCTCCATACCATCCTTCCATAGGCATTCCCCCCTGCAGCCCACTGGGGGAAGGGGCAGCCTGAGGAGTGACACACTACTATTAAGTCCTGACCGGCCACCTCCCAGCTAAGCGGACCTGTGCAAAACATATAACCTCCCAGAGCATCAGATTCCCCACCTGTAAAGTCAGATGCTCAGCCTACCTCGAAGGTCTACAGAAGTACTACACAAGATCAAGCATATCAAACCTTAGCAGGAGGTGGGCACTCCATGCACAAAAAGGTATCACAGTCACCTCTTACTCCCTTTCCCCTGGGCCTCATCTCTGAGCCTGGGCCAGTACCTCGGAGCCACCAGCTCTTTCTACACTGAGATTTGAATACCTCTGCCGTGTTTCCAAGCACAACCTCCCTGCCAAGCCACCACCTCCTCCTCCTCCTCGAACTGGTCCAACAAAAGGGGCTGGGCACCAAACTCCCTCCAAAACCGTCAGGGCTGCAGCTAAACCACATGGAGGTGTTACCAATACTGATGGGATATTTGGTTTGTGGCAAAATTCCAGCCTGCCATTTCTCTCTGAGACTGGAAACTCTAGGAAGGCAAGGGCTCCATCTTTCTATCAAATCCTTAATTAATGCTGTCTGTGCTTTGTACCCAGTGAGCGTTTAGAAAATACTGACCACGATGAAGAAAGGGAAAAAAAGGATAGTATCCATGTAATCATTTCAATTCAACCACTTCTAGAAAAGGCATTTCAAAAGCCTACGGCTGGCTGTTAAATGCCAAACCCTTAAGTAAGATGCTGATCCACTTAAGCACGAAATTACAAGTACAAAATCCTCATAGGAGAAAACATCCTTAATATTCACAAAATTCACAGTGCGTTCAGCAGTCCCACGGATCTGTCTCTTGCTTCAACAGTGTTTGGATGGAACAGACACAGGGACGTTCCTTGCTCCAGTCTCCAACCACCCTTCAACCTTTTTTCCAGTCGCATCCTTCAGAACCAGTCACTGTGCTATCTTCAGCCTCTGGGACCAGCCAACACCATTTTGTGAGCTTAACTCCTTATTACCGATCAACCATGAGCTCTCAGATTGGTCAGAATTATTCCAGTGAGGTTGAGGCCTGCGTCAACCCACTGGTCAACATGCTTCTGCGGGCCTCCTACACCTACCTCTCTCTGGGCTTCTATTTCAACCTCGACAATGTGGTTCTGGAGGGCATTGGCCACTTTTTCCGCGAATTGGCTGAGGAGAAGCCCAAGGGCGGGGGGCATCTCTTGAAAATAAATGCAAACTTCCAGGACATGCAGAAGCCATCTCAAGATGAGTGGGGTAAAACCCAGGACGCTATGGAAGCTGCTATTGTCCTGAAGAACCTGAACCAGGCCCTTTTGGATCTGCATGCTGTCGATGTCACAATACCATGTACACATACACACCGTATGCGGAGAGAGCTGATGGCTACTCTGAAGCTTTATTAAGTTGCACAGTCTTATATAGCAAAGAAGAATGACAAGGGAAATGGTTAACAGGCAGCATCTGGCTCAAGGTCAGAAAACTCCTTATGTTTTGGTAAATCATGTTCGTGTTGGCACCAGCGAGCCTTACAGCTTATCAGGGCGGAATGTATGAGAAACGGCGGCTTTACAACATTCTTCTTGGACTCAGGCGGCTGTGCCTGTCTTAGGTTGCCCCCCTCTAGGGATCTTACCCGTCCTTGGCTAACCAGCCTTCTCACCTCTGAGTCTGCAGCTTTTAATAACTTGTTTACCATTCCAGCCCAAGGCTCGTTCCTTGGTTCCCACAGTAGGGGGCCTACACATGCCCATGCGCAGACCCACATTTCTGTGACTTCCTGGAGAACCACTTCCTGGATGAGGAGGTGAAACTCATCAAGAAGATGGGCAACCCCCTGACTAACCTCCGCAGGCTCTCTGGTCCCCAGGCTGGGCTGGGCGAGTATCTCTTCAAAAGGCTCACCCTCAAGCACAACTAGGAGCCTCTGCAAACCAGCGTCCTTTATGGAGCCCCTGCAACCCAGCGTCCTTTATGGAGCCCCTCTGGTGTCAGGGCTTCTGCCTGAAGCCTCTCTGCAGTCACCAGGCAGCTTTTTAACCATCCTAGAGCCCTCTCCCAAGCCTTGGACCAAATGAAACAACAAAGCTTTTTGCAACAACAACAACAACAAAAAATTCACAAAATTCATTGTGAATTACATAAACTTAATTCATCCTTTTGTGGCAAGAAAATACTGTACCAGTAACTATCTTTTACCATCCAAACTGGAACTTTCCTTCCCCCTACAAGAGCTCTTCTTGCTACAGAAGCTTCCTTGTGTCTGCACGGCTGCCCCATCTTCCTGTCAGACTCTGAGCTCTCTATTAAAGGAGGATGATGTTCCTCATCTCCACTGTCCTAGCCCAGGCAACACCTGACACAGTAGATACGGAATAGGAAAAAAAAAAGTTCCTTATTTTAATCACTACCACACTCCTAGGTGCCCAGGCCATATCCTGTCTTCTTTAGTCTGACCTTCTCCTCCTCCATCTCATCTGCTCTCATCAGCTGCATGCCCTCGTACCTTAGTGACTAAGTACTTTCTGGGTCTGAGCCTCAAACTTCCCATCTGTAAAATGGGTTAACAAGCACTACTTCATAGGCTCTGGCACAAAGAGTTGCTCATTGGAATGGTAGCTACCTGGATCATTCTCAGCCACAACTCTAGACCAGGCTCTGGCACTGTCTCACAGGGAGCACTCCTCCCACCGCTCTTATCACACCAACGCCCTCATGAAGCCATGTCTGCTCCCTGAAACAGACCCATAAGGTTGTTGCTTTGTTCAAAATCTGTCTAATGGTTCCTGTTGTCAGGTGGCGACAAACTCCTTAAGAGAGTTTTGCTGTCATGGCCCTTTACCACCTGACCCCAACTTTGCTCCCCTCAATTCCCAAGTATCCTGCACTCTGGCCAAACAGGCCACTCGCAGTCCAAATACACCCTGCACCTGCTCCCCATCTGGTGCCTCCACTCCAGCCACTGCTCTGCAAATCAATAAACCTCCCTTCACCCGATGGGAATTATCAATTTGCCAACAATGCCCGATTCCCTAGTACTTAACTTATGTAACTGACTATCATTAGTTCTTTGTAAGTGTGGGCCTCCTTAACTGGAGAGTAGCTCCCGAAGGGAAAGACCTATGTCGTAGCACTCTCTTGGCAAAACTACAACCTCTAGCTGGCTGCCATGCTGCTGGGACAGAACTGGGCTTCAGGGAAATCTTTGGCACAGAACTGTGAGCCATAATGTTATGAAAATAGAAACTCTTCGATCTACTTCCTCTTTTTCAAATTATTCTCAACTCAGTTGTCCATTTATTCATTCATTCTTCTCATTACTTCTTTTCCCCCCCTTTGGTGGTGGTGCGATTAGGTTTTTATTTATTTATTTTTAGAGGAGGAACTGGGGCTTGAACCCAGGACCTCATGCATGCTAAGCATGTGCTCTATCACTTGAGTTATATATAACCTCCCATGTGTCAGTCACCATTCTAGACATTGGGGATAAAGTCGTGAGCAAAACTGACAGAAGCTTAGAAGACAGGCAATCCACACACATATGTATGTTGGGTGGTGATAAGCACTATAGAGAAAATAAAGCCTCTTCTCACCCTCACCCAACCATTATTCTCCTTTCTCTGGGGTGGTTTTCCCCACTCAACCACTTCCTGCTTCTGGCTGAGCGATGTCAAGGATGTATTAGGTCCCCTGGTTCTCTCAAGTTTTGAACTGACGTGCTGCCCCTGAGCCTGGGTCACCACCACTGTCCTCTGCGCTTTCCCTCTCCATCTCTGCACCAGAGTCTAATTGACTTCTAAAAAAGGGTTCAAACTTACTGCAAATTCATGCTGCCTCATTAAATGAGGCTTCTGGCCAGGTATTTTGCCACTTCTATTAGTCTTTCCTAGCATTTTCTCACAGCGTAATAATGGAAACAGCACGCGCTTTGACTGTCCAACAGACTCTTGATGGACTTGAGGAGTCCTTGAAACCTCCACCTTAGATAAACAAAACAATCTTCATCTGTAAAATGGGAACAAACAGTAGTAGTACAGACTTCCTAGGCTGTTATAAGGATGCAATGAGATAACACATTTGAAATACCAAGGTCAGTGCCAGGCATGTGACCAGTACCCAACAGCCTTCCCTCCACCTCATCTCAGGTCCTAACTCCACCCACCATCACGAAGAGGACTAAGGCCACGTGGCGCCGAGCTCCTCCTACTCCCCACTTCAGTTTCGATCTGTTGACTTAACCTTTTCATGTAAAAGGAAGAGCAGCTCTGCACACAAGCCACAGCCCCCAGCCCCCAGCCCACAGAACTCTGGTTGAGTTCTCCGTGACGGGGGTAGTCAAACAAGTTACAACAAAGCCGCACCGTGGGCCCACCTCCCCTGCACCACAGTGAGGTGCAGGCAAAATTAAGCCTACAGGCAAAATGCCAGTCCTCCATCATCTTATAGGCACAAAGGGGTGGGTGGTCAACACTTTCAGCTGCAGAAATCGACATGCTGTCTTCTGGGAGAGCGTCTGAGAGTCAAAGACCTATGTTTGAATCCTGGCTCTGCCACTTAATAACCACGTGTTCTTGGGGCGCTACCTAAGTAGAGGCAAAAAAAATGAGTATTTTATTGTTTCTTGATGCTATCTGTCAGGAACTTGACAGTTACAGTTTCCTTTTTAACTGTTAAACTTTAACCCTTTGTTTCTCATGTGTAAAATGAGAGTTTAGGGACTCTAAAACCTAGATCAGGGCTACTGCGAGGATTAAATGAAACAAAAACTCCATAAATTGCTTAAGACAGCCCCTGGCATACAGTAGATGATTTACAAAGTATTTTTTCCTCTCAAATTTCCCACTGTCATCATTTTAACATCACATTCTGGGCTGCAAACCTGATTCTGCAGAAGGAGGCAGATGCAGTATTCTTTCTCTGGGTCAGGGCTCACCTTCAGCCCTGGCCATGCCTGACCTCGGGAGGAGGGACGGCCCATACCTGCACACCACCACCCAGCCAGTGACTTCACTTCCTGCTTGCTAATCTGGAAAACATGGCTACATGCATTTCAAAATGAAATGGCTACAGTCAATAAGCTCCAGGCTTCATCTTGTCAGGGCCCCACTGTACCTGAGATGTCCTTGACACTGCTTTCAATTAAAACAACAAGTTCACCTGCAGTCAGGCCTCTGTGACGGCACCTCATGAAGCAAACCACAGTGAGGGCCTGCTGCACGCCAAGCGTGGGGCCGGGCGCCCTTCACAGCTTAACTCGCTTTACTCCCACGACACTATGAGGTGTCAGACGGGGACAACGATTACACCCCCACTTGCTAGACGGGGAAAATATGTCTCCACACAGGTTAAATCATACAGCTTAAGAAGTGGCCAAGCTGCTATCTGAATTCAGGTCTAGCGGGGCTCCGAATCTATGCTGAGATGCTTTGCTTTTGCTTGGTTAGTTTTCAAATGTCTGTGAAAGGACGGGTCTGGGTCACCAGCATCGCAGAGGCACAGGCGAGGGACAGGTATTACACAAGAGTCAGCAGGCTTGCCCCAGGACCTAAGGCTGCGGCGGCCAAGCAGGCCGAGACAACAACACTCACCTTCCTGGCCATGTTTGCGAAGTGGGCCCCACAGGCCTTGCAGCTTGGTTCCGAGCCTGTCGGGGAAGGGAAGGAGCTGTACCCAGGGTTGGAATAGGCCTGCGTCCTGGTTCCCTGGGGCGGTGGGGCCTCCTCAGGCTGTCCATCCAGGCAGAACCAGTTGCAGCAGGTTGCCCACATGATAAAATCTGGTGCAAGGGAGAAAGGAGGAATGATCAGAGTTAAGATACACCTCGAGTATGTTTCCATTTCGGAAGGCACAGGTGAGCGGGGGTGTCAACCCTCACTTGCCGCCAAGGTTGAGGTGAAAACGGGTTTCCAGGGGCCACAGACATCTTCCCACCCCCTCCTCCAGCACCAGGGTTACAGATAAAGGTGAGTATAGACACCTGATCTGCCGGGACAGGACAGCACGAGCAGCCGCGCTGACACACCACCCTGGAAGGTTGCGGATGCCTTTCTGGGTTTAATCTGAGATCTAACTTCAAATAAAATCTTTTGTCTTAGCAATTACAAGTGGCCTAACAGCTGCTTTATTTGGGAACATGACCTTGCCCGTAGAGCTCAGAAAGAACTTTAACATTCACGCAAGTGCAAAGACACATAAAATTCCACACTCATACTGACTGTGGGGAGGAGGCATTATTATTTCCTTTACACAGATAAGGCAACTCAGGCTCAAAGAAGTCAAGGTCACACAGCTAACACAGAGAGAACTGGGATTCTGAAAATCAGCTCTTCTGACTCTAAACCCAACGTCCTCTGCCCTTCACCGGCCACCCGATTTCTTCCCCCACCACCAGCAGAACTTCCTAACAGCTCCTACCTCTGTACTTTCAACCCTACATAAATTTCTATCAGGGCAAGGGGAGAAACAGGGTGGAGAGGGATAAATTGGGAGTTCAGGATCTGTAGATACACTACTATACATAAAATAGATAAACAACAAGGTCCTACTACAGAGCACAGGGAGCTATATTCAATACCTTGTAATGGCCTATAATGAAAGAGAATATGGAAAAGAATATATGTGTATAACTGCATCACTATACTGCAAACCAGAATTTAACACAACATTGTAAATCGACTATACTTCAGTTTAAAAGAAAATTTTTTTCTATCACAGCACCTGTGAAAGTTACGATTTTTTTCTATCACTAAAGCACACATTCCTTGAAGGCAGGGACCACTTCTTATTCATGTCTGTTCTGTGCTCAGCACTGTCGCGTATGCAGCAGATGCTTCACAAACGTTTGCTTCCTCACTGAAGCAGTGCCTCTGCGGACTTACTGAGAAGTGTTGGGTTATTATTCCTACTTAATGTATCAGCTACAGGAATTAGGGACAAGGGGTTGACGATATTTTTTTTTTAATCACAGAACAAAGAGGATGCAATCTCTAAATGTCAGAATAAACTAAAGATTGTCGGGTGGGGCACCAGTTGAGCATTGCTGTGATGAAGATGCGCTTTTCTCAGCAGACACAGGCAGCCAACATGGACACTTGGGAGCCTGAACTCTGCTTACAGAGATAAGAAACGAAACATTTAGCATATTAATCAATAATTAGTTCACACAGTACTTCTGCTCTGCTTCCTGACTCACTGAAAGTGCTTTTATCAGGTCATAGTTCAAAGATGTACTAAGCTAGAAGGAACTAAGAAGCCAAGTGGTTCCACTTGGGTTATTTTTCAGAGAAAAGGAAGAGGCCCAGTGGGGAAAGGTACTTCCTGGTTCACACAGCTCAACTGGAAGCCTCTGCATTACTCTAGGGCCTTTCCAGCTTCCCAACACTGCCTCAACATACCTGTGATACCGTGTGTTCACTCCTGTAGGTGTGTCCCATAAACATCTGTGTCCCCACTTGCCTGTGAGCCCCTCGTGAATAGGGACCACGGCTGTCACACAGTCCCCAGCAGAGGGGTGGATCAACAGGACTGGTGAATGAATGAGTCATGCAGGGTATTTAAAGCTTAACTAACCACACATTCATTCCATTTTTTACTCATCAAAAACATTGCTCTGACTCACTATTACTTGTCTGAAGACTGTAAATTCTCAGGAGACAGAGGCCTAACCTGCTTTCCAAACTCACATGGAATAATGAAGCCAAGAGCACTTAAATAGATGAGTTCTTTACTGACAAAAGACTGGAGATGCCGGAGAGTGGTCGCCCTCTGAAAGAGGAACTTTGTAACTCTTCAACTCACCTGCTGAGAGAAGCATCTGGAAGGGTGTGTAATAATACAGAGAACACAGGATGTGGAATCAAAGACCTGGGCTGTCACCTACGTGGAGAAAGTCACAACCCTTCTTTTTGTACTTCATCTTTCTTATCTAGACATTCTCCAAACTATAAAATACGAACTAAATCTTAGTTGTTGCTACTAGCAGTACAACAGTGTTTCCACTGCAATTTCTCTGGGAAGGAACAGGTAAAGAGAAAGCCTAGAGATTTCATCACAATTACCACTCAGTTTTCTGGCTTGTCCCAAACAGGAACAGAGAGATCTCGGACAGAATTAGAAGGATGTGTCAATGAACTGAATGAGGTGGGAGAAGAGGAGGAACAGAACAGCCTTGGGGCAAGGCTGTGGGTGTTTCACTAACTTCTGCCAAAACCTCCACTCACCCACACACACAGCCCTTATAGAATCCAATGCCTTGCTGTTTCCCGTGCTAGATGATACGGTCAAGTGCCTACCCTCAGGGAGCTCATGGTCTAGTGTGGGAACTAGAAAGGTAAAAACCAAAAATTGAAAGTTCAGGGTGATCAGTGCTTTAACGGAGGTTTGTACAGGGTATGGGGGCTACAAAGATGGAAACGATCGGCTCCTTGGGGGTCAGGGAGTGAACTATTATGGGAGTAAGTGGGAATTTACCAGAAAGTCAAGAGCAAAAAGACTTTTCAAGAAAAAAACAAACAAACAAACAAACAAAAACAGCATGTACCGGGGCTTTAAAGAAACTACAAAGCACGTGGTTGGGTCAGAGGTAAGGGTTAGGGTGGATGAGAGCACAGCAAGTACACCGGCAGCCAGAAGGACCCTCTCTTCCCTGGGAAGGAATCTGGACTTTACCCTAGAGGTAATGAGACACAATTAAGCGTCCAGGCAACCAGGTTTTGTGATTTTATTTGCATTTTAGAGTGGCCACTGCGGCAGTAAGCAGTGTGGAGAACAAACCTGCCAGGGGTGGGTTGGAAGCAAGATATGGGACTATGGGCAGAAGAGAAAGGGACAAAGATGAATTATTCTTTCTAGAAACTTTTGACCATGAAGGGAAGAGAGAAGGCAGCAGCTGAAGAGGATCCAGGTGATGAGATAAGAGAAACGTTGACAAATTTAGACTGTGGAGGAGACCCCCAAAGACTAAGACGTTAGAGAGGAAGGGAAGCTGGATACATACAACTGACAAGTGTGAGGGTCTGGGGTGGAGGGAAAGTGACAAGTGACGAGGTGTAGGGTGGACCACTCCCGGGCAGGAGAACGCTCACCTCTTCCACCACAGAGGGGAACCGCGGTGAAGACAGACAGAACGAAAGACCAGCCGACAGCATTAGCAGGGAGAGACGGAAGAAGGACATGTGGAACCACAAGGAGAAAACCACCTTTTCCTCCACACAAGGAATTTGCGTGTTGCAACCTTTTCCTAAGATGTCAGGACTTTGCCACATACCGGGCAGACCCACTAGGGAAGGCATCACCAAGTAGGGAAAACTGGAAAGCTGGCGAGCTGAATACTGGTTCAATTCATGTGCTTTTACCAGCAAGTGGGAAGCACCAGATGGGCTGGGCACTGAGAGACCAAGAGTGATTTGCACAGGTCCTTGCCCCCGGGGACTCCGGGCTCAGGAAGGCACCAAACACAGCTCAAGCCGGCCATCCTGGTTCAGGGGCTAAGAAAGCTCTCCCTTAGCCTCGCAGGAGTCAACAGAACCTGTCTTCGCAGGACTATTTTCACTCTCTCAACTTCAGTTCTCATCCTAACTGCCTCCTCTGAACAGCTCTGAAAGAAAAGCCATAAGCCTGTTTCAGTATCTGGGTCCTCCTACAAGGACTTGATTCTGTGGGAAGACTTGACATCTGTCACTTGGTTATCCCACAGGCCCCACGTGTGGCTGGAGAAGGCAGCCACCTCCCGGGGATGTGGACATGTGGGGAGCCAGTTACTGGGGAAGGGTCTCCAGCGCTCAACTCCCTGAAACATGCTCAGCCTGCTACCACCACCTGGTCACCAAAGTAAGCAGGTTTTTTCTCTTTGTGACTTATATTTAAATACCAAAGGTGCATTTCCCTAAGTGGTCTTGCCAAACTGGAAAGACTTAAGCCAAAATGACAACTATGCTCAGGGTTATTTCAGGGAGGGAAAGAAAAGGGTTTGTGATTTTAACACTGCCCTACAAACCAACACTTTTCTCTTGGGAGTATGTTTTCATCCCTCAGCGCTCAACAGATACAGGCAGGTGGCACCTAATGGTGTTATTTAAGGACTGAAAGTGGGACCACAGTTGTGGGGTGTACAGAGAATTCTCCTCCCTCTCTGATCTGCAAATCTCCTTCTTATCTTAAAAGAAAATAATCATCAAATCTTCACTGAGGGCTTGAAAATTCCTTCCCCAATTCCCCTCACCCTCTTCAGAAAAGATGGACTTGGCGATTTAATTTTCTGTTGTAGTCTGACTGCTTTCCTGTTGAGTTTGTTTGAAACCTGCCAGGCTCTCCTCTTGTGCTTTGCCTTATCTGCCAGGCACTGAGCTAGGTACTACCTAGTGATATTTCATATGATCCTCACAACGAGGATTCCTTCTTCCCATTTTCAGGTAAGAGAATCAAGATTCAGGGAAGTTAAGTAACTTACCAAAGGTCATAGCTAGAGGGTATAATGCCAGGATTTGAACCTAAATCCCTTAGACCCTGAAGCCTATGCTCTGTAGGATACAAAAGAAACGTTCCCGATGAAAGAAGGAAAGAAAGGAAAGAGAGGAAGAAAGAAAGAAAGGAATGAAGAAAAGAAAGGAAGAAAAGAAAGGAAGAAGGAAGAAAGGAAGGAAGGAAGGAAGGAAGGAAGGAAGAAAGAAGAGAGAGAGAGAGAGAGAGAAAGAAAGAAAGAAAGAAAGAAAGAAAGAAAGAAAGAAAGAAAGAAAGAAAGAAAGAAAGAAAGAAAGAAAGAAAGAAAATCAGTCTGTC